GAGGCTTCGAAGAGAAGTGTGACTCAAGATATGAATCGACACCGTTCCTAAAGACATGGAAGCAGTTCTTGGACCTTCCATTTTCCGACCCCGTCGCTGGCGAAGAGAATGGGCGGAGCTTTACTGGTCTCCTAAGAGGCCGGTTACTTCAGGCATGAGCACAGCCGTAACAAATACTGGATCAAATGAATTATTCACAATCTGCACCTGATAGGCATCTTGTGGATCAAAATCGTGAGCGAGGAAAAATGCGACAAGCAACGCCCTGCTCATACCCTCAGAGGAAGGTGATATATACTATTTGACAGTTACAAAAATCATACGTTCGTACGATTACAGTAACATCGATATTCTGACCCAAACGTTTCTGTGTGCAGTTTCTGATAGGGTTTGAAAATGCAATACCTATTACTCAAGCTTGTTCTGAACTAAGAACTAGCCGCCTCCGGAGGAATAAACTCATCCCGGAATTTAAATGTACAAACTCCCCCACCCTCAATCAACGTTGGTAGGTGCTATAACCTCCAATAAAGTCTGACAACAGATACACCACAACCCAGCACACCCGTAAGGAAAACAGTCAAACTATGTAATCTATGCGACCTAGGTATGCAAAATGAGTCCTAAAAAGACGCATGTTACACATTGCCTAATTCGGATCCCTTCCGTGGAAGAACAAAGGTGTTACAAAGGCCTTCGTATAGGGCGTGCGCCAGCTAGGGAACTGCGATTTTTATTCCTCGTCCTTCACTTGTAAAAACCGCAAAACACGACGCAGAAGTCGTAATACAGAACGGATACAATGGCTCCTTGCCCGAACCTTGTAGTAGAAAAATAAGTGAACGGGAAGATCTTTGGAAAAAGGTCAAATTCTTGAATATATTAAAATATATATTAAATAAAAAAGGCTGCGTCGAGCACAGCAGAAGCAGACTACGAAGGATTCCGCGGTGTATCTGTAAAGAGAACAAAATCAATCTGAAAAACGGTAAAAAGTGGCAAGCGTAATACAACGGATCACATTATCATCACCGTACTCGAGATAAGCTTATTTGTGTCACTGCCATCTGCGAAGGAAGCATAGTTTAGTATCGACTAGGCACAAGCAGACATAAGTTTGAGTCGATATTACCACAGGTAAATTAGGGTTTACCGAAAGCAAATAGTACTGTGGGACCCACGGTGATTACGCCTTTCCCGAAACACAAGAAAAGGCTTCCGAGCATGTGCAGCCTCGCAAGCGATAAGGTGTGAAAATGCATACATCAGTTGAGGAGGGCTGTATCAATAAGTAAAATAGATCCTGAATGAGCAGGCCATCTTAAGGCAGCCTTTATTTTAAATATCCACAGAACATCCGAAGCACCCTGTCCAATGAAAATCTAGAAAGCTTTAAACCGTCTCAGAGCATCTACTTAAACATGAGCTATGTGAAACTGACACCACTGCACGGCCTAATCAAGCTATAATCAATCATTCACTTTTTATCGGGTATTCATTGGGTTATTTGCAATACATAAATGAAGCTTTAAAATCTCACCAGAAATTATTGTACAAACCCCAAGTAAAGCCACTGAAGCGGAGCCTACAAGATATTTTTCCTGTCTGAAGTAAGGACTACGAAAAATCACTACGAGTTTTACGACAGCAAAAAAACAATAGAAGACGAGTTTGGAATTTTCCCAAGTGAATGTGTTGTTGTAAACAAATATTTTTGCAGATAAGAGCATTGCATAACCTTTCGTAGAATTCTAAATTTGTGGGGCAGCCTTGTAATAAACGAGACACCACAAAGTTAATAATTCAAACCCGTGGATAAATAAATAGAGCTACAGTATGGCGAGTGCTGCATGAAACATTCCGCGATTTGAAAAAGACCGGTAACCACTCACAAAACAGCATAGAATAGGGTTGTAATACTGTTTCTCATTTAGTCCAATTTCAATTATTTTCAGTTAGACTAGGATGCCGACTCTGTGATGAGCGTCTTCCTGACAGCTGCGAAAAATTTGATTCTGAAAAATTAGCTACTTAAATAGTATGCGTTTTTATCATAGATTTTGACTGCCTTTATAAATTCAAAACTATTTTATGGAAAGCATGCATGAACAAATGCTCTATTGTACTTATTGGA